CATAGATGAGCTTAGGGGCAAAAATAGGGGCAAATCTGTCTTATTATTTATGTACGACCTTGTATTCACTAATACTATTCAGATATTAGATACATTGATTGTACAACAATTACGGCTAATGAAAACATGTCTGTGAACATACGTGGTCTAGACTCTAGACTGTTAGTACCGGTAATAACAGAATACATGAGTTAATGAGTAAGCAAAGAAAAAAAGTGCGTTTTGGAGCTTTCTTCACAGAAAACAAATTATTTTATTAGAAATATTAAAGTTGTGTTTATTAAGCATTGAGTCATTCAATGAATCAAACATTACTTTATCTAAAGTTAAGTTTTTCTGTGAAGAAAGCTCCAAAACGCACTTTTTTTTCTTTGCTTATTAATGAGTAATGAGTTAATGATTTAATAATGTATTCATGAGTTGACACTATTAATTTTTTATGCAAGTTGTAAAAAATTATTTTATGCAATTCGTTTGGTAAGTAGAAATAAACATGTACATTATTGATTAGTGACCAGGGAGATACGGCCAGACCGAGTTAAATTGTATGTGATTATTAATCACTGATTAAAATAAAAATATTTAGAAATTAAAATATATTAACGCGTTTATCAATGTATTTAAAAAACATTTTAATTAACTTAACTAGGCTATACTAAAGTACAGTATTATATATTTAATTGCATACAGGAATATTCTTGACTGTTTTAAAAACAATAGTTTACCATGACAGCATATTTTTTTAAATGCAAATCATTAAATCATTAAATCATTAAATCATTAAATCATTAAATTATCAAATTTTGTAAAACGAATAATACGGATACAAGTGAGCTGTATATAAGTAGAGTACACAAGCGATGTTTTTAGTTGTGATAAACTTTATTAAATAATTTACATTTTATTAATAAAATGTTTGACAATTTAGTACAAGTAATGGCAATAATACCAATGTTTTTATTATTTATCATTCAATACTTGTGGTATTCATTGGCGGCTGTTGTGGCCATTTATATAACATTTAAGTTTTGGTCAGTATTTATGTTATTGCATATATTATATGAATTGCTATAGCAATTTATAAATGTATCATGATTGATTAACACTTACCATGATTATTAATGCCATTAATTATAGGAAATGGAATCGTTCAATAAATTACTGGAAAGACCGCAATATCTCGGGTCCAAAAGCCATACCATATTTCGGAAATACTTTAAGCCGTCTCTTAAAGCCGAGGCCTTATGTGGAGTTGGAGTGGTATAACACTTACGGCCGACTCTACGGGTGATTATATATTTGCACAATAATTGTAACCAATGTAACCAATCTTTATAATACTTATATTATTGTTTTGCATCGCATAGTGTGCACGAAATGGGACGGCCGGTGCTAATAGTGGCGGACCCGGTGCTCATCAAACAGATACTGGTGAAGGACTTCGACAAATTTCCTAACAATGGTATTAAGTCTTCAGACGGGTTCCCCAAAAACTTGGTCACCGCCAGGGATGACCACTGGAAACGGTTCCGACTCATATTGAGCCCAGCGTTCACTTCAGGCAAATTGAAACGCATGTACCCTCTCATCGACGAGTGTTGCCAAGAGTTTATGGAAACTTTGAATCGCAAGCTGTCCATCAGTGGCGGTCAGACGGTTGACGTCCAGTTGAAGACACTTATGTCTTACTATAGTCTGGATGTGATCGCCAGCGCAGCCTTTGCCACCAAAACACACGCCTATTCCCACCCAAACCACCCGTTCGTCACTAATGCTCAAAAATTCTTTGCTTTTAATCGGTTTAAGGCGTTGTCGGCATTGATTTTGCCCGCATTTGTCACACATAGCCGGGTCTGGAAAGCAGTGGTCGGCGACGGCGGCGGCCAAACGCCGCTATTGTTTTTTACTCAAATCGTCGGCCGTTTAGTGTCTGAGCGCAAGAAATCGGGCAAAATATACAACGATTTAATGCAATTACTTATAGATTCCGAAAGAGTGGACACCAATGACCAGACGGTAAGCGCAGATAAAAAGGCCAGCGATTCGGCCGAATCTCATCGCGTAATGAAAGGCATTGGCATTGAGTTGGCGGCCGACAGACAGGTCTCAAGTGATGGCCTATTGGACAAAAAGTTGACCGAAGAGGAGATAATCAGTCAATGCGTCGGAATGTTATTCGTCGGCGTCGAGAAGATAGCGTCGACGCTGTCATTGTGTACGTATGAGTTGGCACTCAATCCCCACATTCAGGACCGGTTGGTGGCGGAGACCAAAGAGGCGTTCAATGAAAACACGACAGACATCGACTACGAAACTCTTCGCCGACTCCCACTCCTCGACGCCGTCGTATCGGAAACTCTTCGCAAATACCCAAATGTGCTCCGCATAAGAAGAGAGGCCTCGGAGGACGTGGTGTTGAGCACCGGTCGTAGCGATGGATCAAATGTTACGATCGAAAAGGGAATGTTCGTAGATATACCGGTGTATGCCATACATCACGACACGGACCACTATCCGGATCCGTTTGCTTTCAAACCCGACCGCTTTTTACCCGAAAATAGTCATCACATGAAACCCTATACATACCTGCCGTTCGGCGCCGGACCCCGTCATTGCCTGGCAATGCGTTTGGCATTATTTGAAGTGAAACTACTTATCGCTCAAATGATACAACAGTTGCGGTTCTATGCGGTGGCCGACACTCGTATACCCCCTGTTTTTGAGTTACCGGACCCCGTCATTGCCTGGCAATGCGTTTGGCATTATTTGAAGTGAAACTACTTATCGCTCAAATGATACAACAGTTGCGGTTCTATGCGGTGGCCGACACTCGTATACCCCCTGTTTTTGAGTTTAGTGAGCAAACGTTAAACGCTGGGAAGCTTGTGGTGGGCGTTGCAAAGCGTTAACTTTATTGCAAACTTATTTGTTAAACTTTGAAATGCATTTTTTAATCATTGATTGTATGCTTAAATGATGGATAAAATTTGTTAATTATTATTTAATTAATTTGTTAATTATTTAATAATATATTGAAAGTTTTTTGCTTCGAAATTATTTCATTTCTACTATTAATTGAATTGTGTTTTGTTTAACTATTTTTAATTCACGTTTTGTCAATACTTTAAGCAATTCCTCGTTTTATAGTTAACTAAAAAGTTACTTAAAAATGACTGAAAAGGTGATAAAAAGTTATGAAAAAGTTATTTATTGTTATTTATTATCCAATATTTTACATAAAAATTATAGAAATAAATGATTGATTTGGGAAAAGCAGAACAATTGGAAGATATGGCCAAAGAATTGCTTTATGTGTCCAACAAATACATGGTCTCAAGACATGGCGTTATATTTAATGTCAGATTTAAAATATTTATTTAATTTCCTATACTTTTACTGTTAAAGGAATGCAATAATTGAAATTTTAAATTGTAATAAATATAAATGTTAATTAATACGTGTACGTGATTTAATTAATGTTAAACTATTGTTTAAATTTTAAACTATGTTATTGAGTTTAACATAAAATATTTAAAATTATTAATTGAATAAGACTTTAATTAACTCTAAAGTTAAACATAAAAACCAATTATCTGTATATAGGAGTGATGTCGACAACCATTGAAATAGCAGTCACTCTATTGGTGGCCATCAATGGCCTGTCGTGTGAGGAGAAGATTATGGACATTCCGGCGGACAGTTATCTGGCGATTGTGTCCAACAACTGTATGTCAATCGCCAACTATAGCTCGTGTGTATTGAGTCGACAACGACTGTACAATTCGGTCAAAATTCATACCATTGAAGACCGCAAAGAGTTGGACGAGAGGAAGGGTCAGCGCGAGTGTTGTCTCTATCGGCTGTATTTGGACTGTTTTGAGGACTCGCTGTATAGCGCCGGGTGTCGGAAGTCGGTCTTCGAGGGCCTCAAAGTCTATATCTATGACTATTACTATAACTTTGAGACCAAGTGTCCGGACTATGAGAAGGGCTCGGAGTACGTGTCGGACAAGTGTAAGCCCCGGTGGCCCGTATGGCTCGGTGTGACCCTAATGTTGGTAA